GAATATAAAAGGAGAACTCTGAAGAAAAGATTGCACTATTTGTTAAATTTCTGGTCGATCTTAGGAACGAATTTGCTGCAAGATTCTAAGACTTTGCAGAGGTGGGCAAGCTATCTCCGTATCTTAAATCGCCATTTGAAGATAATGTAGTGACAGAATGGACGAATGTGGCTTCCAATTTGTTTAATCTGTCAAAGGCATCACTTAAAATGGAGGTAATTGATTTTAAAAATGTGTCTTTGCAAATGTATAAAACGGTATCCACCGAAGAATTTTGGGCCAAACATGTCCCAGAAAAATATGAAAATTGCAAGAAACTAGCTATAAATTTGGCTACTATGTTTGGCTCGACATACGTATGTGAAACATCTTTCTCAAAGATGAATTTTTGGAAATACAAATATCCTTTGAGATTAACAGACGCTTACCTAGAAGACACACTTCTAATTTGCTGTTTCTCTCGAGGACCAAAATATAAAAAACTGGCTCAAGACCGTCGGTGTAGTTTCTCAGATTAATTTTAAGTCTGGTGTTTTATAATTCAGAATTTGATTTGAAACCAAAATAATACATAGATAGCACTTAATTATTATTAATTGTTTTTTTCTGGACCTCGTTAAAATTTTCCCACAGTATCCGGACCCCACCTAAAACTACTTGCCGACCCCTGGTATAGACGTTACATTGAATGTGGCGAGGTAAGGACGAGTGTATCGATGCGTCCGTTTGCACTTGCTGCATTTTAATATGCCTTGTCCGTGTGCAACTGCGCTGTAATCCTAAAGTGTTGTTGATGACTAAAATGACAATCATTATTTTATTCGTACAAAACAAACAGGACTAACGACTTGTATTAGGTATGTTATACCTGGTAGAGCAGCGCTGCAGCTATATTATGGTTGTAGCACGATTGGGTCGGGTCGACTGGGGTAGGACCACGCTCTCACAAAACACCAGCGTATAATAACAGCTTAATGATGCTGTGTTTTGTATGGTGAGTGTAGAGAACCGGAGACCCTTTTTAATGGAGGCATTCCATCTTAGTCCTCAGGGATGACAACGCATTTGCAGTTTGGTTCTTAATCGAGGATAAATGTAGATGTCTATGGGCCGCAGCATCCACTTACCATCATGTGTTTCTACGTACACAAATGTGTATCACGGTATTTATCACTACTGATTCTGTCTAGGAGTTAGGAACTCACCTTTTTCTGCCGTCAAGTAATAATGCATGCACTGCTGTTTCAGTCTGAAGCGTATAGAGAGTCAGTATAATTACACATTCCATCTTAGTCCTCACGGCTGACAACGCATTTGCATTTTGATTCGCAAACGAGGATAGATGTAGATGTCTATGGGCCACAGCAACCACTTACCATCATGTGGACTGTGTGCTCGTTTGTCACCCTATCCTATAAAAAAAAAACACGCAGGCATTCCATCTTAGTCCAAAGAGATAATATCTTCTTGGTTTGAATTTGACTGCAGGTGTCCATGGACTGCAGTAGCCACGTATCATCAGACTTACAGTCGCCGATCGTATGTATTTTTAGAGATGCGTGAGTCTGTAAAATCTTATAATATACATTCCAAATATGAATTTCGTTTATCACTTTTTAAATGATTAAATGTTTTTTTGACGTGTAATGGTGATGACGTAAGAGAATCCAAATCATCCAGTGCGTGTCGTAAGAGGCGACAGAGGGAAACTGAAACAGGAGATGGGCAGCAGCATCGACCTGATATCAAGTCAAAATATTAATAATTTAAAATTAAATTATTGTACAGCCGACTTCAATACAAGTTATTAAGAATGACTCAATAACTATTGGTCTGACCTTGATCAAATTCATATGGGACCACACGAGAAGTATCAGCTTTCAAATAAAAAAGAATCATCGAAATCGGTTCACCCTAGTAAAAAGTTATGAGGTAACACACATAAAAAAAACATACAGTCGAATTGAGTACCGTCTCCTTTTTGGAAGTCGGCAGAAAAACTGTTACCAACATTTCTGCTAAGTGTGGCAACGGTGGTAAATAACCAATGACCAGCAATATATGTGTGTGAACTATGTTTAGCAATGAACTGTTGATTAACTGTAATTTACGAATTAATGTTTTTTACATAGCGGATTTTGCAAGGCCGGCTACGATTAGCCCATATAGTTTGACTATAATTAGACCTTCATATTACTACAAGTAAAAATATAGCAAGCTGTGTTTATTTAAATTGCGGTTAAGTGAAAACTGTGTCAGGGTAAAATGAAACGCTCACAATTGGTCGTACTTTTTGTCCTATATTCTACTAGACATGCCTGGGGGTGTATAAAATCTATTGTTACAGGCATAGCTGGTAGGATAGTAATAAAAGATTGGGTCCAGCTTTGTGACTGAACGGTGGGACGCTTTGACAAAAAATAAAAAAGATATTTTGTCCCAGTTAAAAATTCTTCTTTAGCATAGTAGGAAATAATTATAGGAATATAAACTTCAAGCTTTATTATGACAGGGGAAGGCCCACGCACTCGCAGAATACCAGCGTGAAATAGCAACTGAATGCTGCTGTTTCGTATGATGAGTGTAGAGAACAGAAGACGTTCCTCAGAAGTGACAATGCACTAAATATACATATAAAACACAGTTTTGATGCTTAATCGAGGATAGATGTAGATGTCTATGGGCCACAGACGTTTGTCACTCTTATTCAAAATAAATTTGAGAAGTACATATAAAATGTAAAGAGTTTATAACTTAAAACCGAAATAATGATTGTTGTGAAACTAGCTACGTATGTATTATAAAAATGAACACAAAAGTGGTAATTTTAAAACAATGCTCTATAGTCACGCTATTTTACGCTACGCATTTATGTGTCGCGTATTTTTAGTTATAACATAACCTTGTGTGTTAAATAAGTATGTCATCATTATAAAAAAGTAAGCTTACAGAAGCGAGCTATCGGGGTCAACTCTGCTTAAGAAAAATAACTTGCGAATGTGACTTGAGATAAGCGGCTTGTATTAACAATGGCAATAATATGTGTTTAAAACAAATAAATTCATTACTTTTGTAATGTGCTTCTACATAACTAACAAGAAAACTAAATTGGATTTAATTTATTTCTCCGAAATAAGAGTATTAGTACTCTTCTCTCTTCACTTCACTCTTAGTCTAGAACGTTGTTTTTATGTAGCTTCTATTGCAAAAATTTTTTTAATTGTAATTATAGATGTGTTAAAATTGTCGGCTCACATTGAGGAGGTACCTACTTAAGCAATAGACGACTATGCGCAACATAATCGTATTATTAAACGAGCTCTCATACTTTCAAGATATTTTCGGTTGAAAAGGATGTCGCAACTCGCAATCTCGACTTGCTTGCATATTGCGTATAATGTTGCTGGTGCATACACTGCAAGCCAAAAGTTTAAGACCACCTTAATTAAAGTTGGAAAATTAAATAAAACTCCAATAAAAGTATTAAATGTTTAATTAAACTGTTAAATCATCCAATAAAACACTTTTTGACAATCAATATGCTTGAAAAGCGTATAGATTAGCGTAATTATAATGTATTATTTACAGATAACTTATATTTTTATATAACATTTCTTATATTTTAAAACATTAATCTTGTCTTTCGGTGTTACAAAAAAAATTGACCACACAACAATTATAGTATATTTTAAAATTTAACTTAATATTTCATTGCCTTTATCCTGAGATGTCAGTGACTGCCCAAAGGCAGCTTCATCTGGTGTATAATAAGGGAAAGTTTAACAGTTTATTATTATTTGAGATTTTACGCTGAAATGAATATATCTTTCTATATTTTTCACCAATTAATCAATTTTTTTTGTGGGTGGAATGGAAAAACAGACGAAAATGTATAGAACCAACGGGAACTTATTACTAATCCTCCGCTGTCCGTCAGTCTGTCCGTTCGTATGTCTGTCAGCGGGCTGTATCTCATGATCTGTAATAGGTAGACAGTTGAAATTTTCACAGAATGTATATTTTTGCTGCCGCTATAACAAGAAAATAATAAATTAAGAATTAAAGGGGGCTCTCGTACTAGAAACATGTTTTATGATGGTACGGAACCCTTCATGCGCAAATCCGACTCGCACTTTGCGTGCTTTTAAAAAAAATCATATTCGCTAGCAGAGCAGACAACCTGATGATATACCCCGTCCCGCCCCAACATCCATCGAATGCGACTCTACTTTGTAGCGTTATCTCTAGGCTAAGAAGTGAGTCATTCTTTCTTTATTCATAGATTTATGTAGCCACGTAGGAATTTCGGCATCGTCGCTATCACAATCTGTTTTTCGATCCACCTAGCTTTGAGGTTAGGCATATGACATACCGTGATATACGGTGTCATCACCGAAGTTCATTAAGTAAGGTAACAGTCACAGTTAGGATATCCTAAAAACCTGTAAAATTAAGTTTAATCTGTATTGCACATGTGATTACGTCGTTACGTAGGTACGTAAATCCTCGAAATATTATAATATATCCTATCAAGTATTAAAAATGTAAAATGAAGTTATAACTTAAAACGATTTTCCTTTTTTGAGATTTCTCTTTTTCAACAGTTGGTAGATTTTTATGTTCATAGGAGTTAAACACCTAAACTAGGTGCTGACTTTTCGATCATCAATCAATAGTTATCAATACTAAATAATTTGTAGGAATAAAATAGTTCAATTGTTACACAGGCTATAATTTGTTTGATAGTTAAATTCTAACTGACGATTGAAAAATCTGGATATTTTTGACATTACTCTATGCACAATACATCAATATAAACTATAATTGACGGAATCTACTTTTAGAGATTAGAGGGCGAGATATAAGAACAACGCTTGAGTATTGAAAGTTTCCTAAGGTGTGTTGAAGACGATTTCCAAGTGTCATTCATTACATACATACAATTACATGTTATTGTGTTACAATTGAAAATATATTAATTTTAACTATTTCGTCAACAGCTGTTCGGCCTCGCCATCGTCGGTATCGGAGTAGCGGTTCTGCTCAACTGGACGGTGTTGAAGGAAGAGCTGCATAGTCAGCTGAACGTGGCCCCATGGGTGTTCATCGTCATTGGTGCGGTGATGTTCATCATCGCTTTCTTCGGTTGTTGCGGCGCAATACGCGAGAGCCACTGCATGGTCGTCACGGTAAGTCATAAATGATGAAGCGAGTAATGTGGTAAAGTTTACTTGATAAGAATACATTCTTTACGGGGTAGAGCCGTGCTGCAGCTGCAGCACGAATGGGTCGGCTCGACCGGGGTTCTTTCTGTTGCGCTTCGTATGTTGAGTATATAGAACCAGATATCCTTTTTACTGGAATCGAGGCATTCATTTTTAGTCCTTAGGAGCGAAAACGCTATCTCTCTCTTTTCTTTCTCTCTTCGAATGGAAAAAAATGCTGGCAGTTTATTCCACTAAATAACTTTACGCATTATTAACGACGAAGCAAACCGTTTGGTTCGAATGCGAGGTATGTCGACAACAAAAATTGTTGGAGACCAGCCGAGCATCTGGTGGCCCGCTAATGGAATGGAGAGGGAGGTATTAAGTCATACAATTCTTGTGCACACTCTCCGAAATGTATCCTGTAAAAAAAATATCGGAGGGATAAATGCCCCTAGGCTATGAGATACAGCATTCAAGTTGCTTGTTTGCCACCCTAACTTGTGTGACCCCCCCCCCCCTCTATCAGGCAATCAAAGGTTGAGACCTATGTTCAACAGTGGACTTTTGATAGTGTGTAATAAAATGAAAAAAATAATCTCAGTTGTATTTGTAACCGATTACTTCCACGAAAATCGTCATACGTACGCGTTTGGAATTCAACAATGCGTTTACCGGGGAAAGTATGTATACATGACTACAATGACTGACCGCGCGCTGGACTTTTAAGAATTCTAATTGTTAAAACCAACAAAGGCAGGGTCGCTCTCTAGAGGAAAGCTGCTTTCGTTCCACTGACTCCTTTCCGATAGCGACAGAGACACAAATTAACACCAGGCTGCCAGTTGCTTTATTGAATAATTTAACTCATCAAAAATCATGACTTACAAGTTGTTGTTCCAGCAGTGACAAATTGACTGGCCAGACTTCCAAGAATATGTCAATCATTTTTAGAAGATTTGTCCATACTTACTTATGTACGTAATTACTAGACATCAGATTATATGCACTAACAAAGTGCCAAAATATGCATGCAAATATGCACTAAAAAGGCCGAAATATGCACTTAAAACTGTTGATATGCCCAAAATACGCACAATGCAAAATCAAAAAACCATTTTTATTTTTTAATTTTAATTAAAGACGGTACAAAAACAGCGAAATGTTCTTAAAATTATGCATAGGTTTTATGACAATATACAATTAAGTATTTTTCCAAATTATCAAGCGCAAATTTGTGACGTTTGTCATCCAGTATCAATTTGTACGCTGAAAACGACTTCTAATATATCAACTGACGTCATTGGACAAATCAAATTTCATCAAATTTAAAATTTGGCCAGTTAGGTCAGTCAGCCACTGCGCTCGCGCTCTACGTGTCTTCGTCACCTAGGTCCCTATACGTAACTCCCGCTACTAAACGAAATATGCACGATTGGGAAAAAAGGCTAAAATATGCATTAAACACCGTAATTAGAGAATTATATGCATTTGCATAAAATCCGATGTAATTACATACGAAAATAATACACAGCACAGGACAGTGCCACCTGCATTCATCGTCTTACTCGGTTATCACTCCATCTACCATCTAGTTAGGGTCCGCCCTGCCGGTACCTGTGAGGCTTTCGAGAACCTTTCTTCCCCATCATTGTCGGTTTTTTGATTTCTTATTGTTTATATCAAATTACATATACCTGCACAATTGAATTGTTATATATTTATGAATCACTAAGTTATCTTATTTCGCATTATTAAAGAAAAATACATAAGTACTTTTTGTTGCTTGCAATTAGAACTAATTTAGTTCCTATATGAATATATACTATAATTCTGTATATAATAGGTATAAAAGTAATGGTAACAAAACATTAATTTAACTAATTGAAGACTTACTACTAATGCCTCGTCCAATTAACGTACTATTAAAAAATTGAAATAACTTTGACGCTATTAACATTTAGTATGATTAATATTGCCTTTTGTTGTTTAATTTGGGAACTGCCATGTAAAATAAAACATGACATTTCGCCTGCTACAAGGTTATTATAACTTGTGTACCTATGTAATTACTCTATAATAAGTCCCATCACTAGAGTTGCCATACGTTCCGTATATACGCGACTGTCCCCGACAAAATATGGAAATGGCCCGATCTGAGCGGCGTGGGTGGCCGACGAGAGTTGAGGAGGCACGCGCATGAGGGAGTGGTACAAGCCGATGAGTGCTCACTCATGGCCTCATTGCTTGTTAGTTTAGTTTCGTTTCGTTTACGACGGGCCGTTTTCCGCAACTCCATGTCTAAGTACGTATTTTACGTATGGGCAGGAATATTCTGAATATTCGAACCGTGAAATCTCTCAACTGAAGAAGTTCAACAGTTTTTTGATATTGAGAGTAACTTCGGGGACTGATCCAGGCGTGCCGAGATGTTTAGCCCTATATGTAGGTGGACTCGACCGGGTAAATAGCAGCTTAATGCTGCTGTGTTTCGTATTGTGAGTATAGAGAACCGGAAACCCTTTTTATTGGAAACGAGGAATTCCATCACAGTCCTCACGGGTGAAAACGCATCTGCATTTTGATTCTTAATTGAAGATAAATGTCTATGGGCCACGGCATCCATTTACTATCAGAGGTGGACTGTGTGCTCGTTTTTCACCCTTATTCTAAAAAAAGCACTTGTCGCTATCCTGATCTGTGGCTTGTCCAATCTCAGACCTTGGTTATACGACTGTTTTAGTTTAGTCCACTAGATTTTTCCAAAACGTGTTGATTAGTAAAGCTTTTACGTACCAGTGAAGGAACATTACCAAAAGGGATCGGTATAATTGGTTCTGGCCCTATAACGGCCATAGCCGATCCTCTACTGGCCAGTTCGTCTGCTGCGTCGTTGCCTCTGGATCCACTGTGTCCCTTGTTCCATTGCAGAGTCACATTATTGTGTTTACATACCTCATTTTGTCGTTGATGGCATTCATATATTAGTCCCGAGTGACTGTGACAGACTGACACTGTGTTGTGGGTATCCAGCGGTGTACATATGTGGATATTGAACTCTCACGAGAAAGTTCCTGATCCTACACCTTCATTTGTTTTAGAACCATCCGTGAACACTATTCTGTTTTGGGTTAGTTCCCTCCAACTGGTTAGTTTAATTTAATTGTATCTTATATTCTTATCGAATACAAACTTTTTGAGGGTCTTATCGTACTTAGCGTGTAAGATAGGAATTTTTGAGTAAATTTTATCAGTTATACCCGTATGAAGGACTCTACTCTTACTCCAAAGATTTGGGGTCGTGATTCTAATATCAGCTAAAGTCCGCTTCATTGTATGTATAGGTGAAGCGGGGTTAGCTTAGGTCTAGCATAGCCTCTGAGTGCATGACGAAACAGGTTATCGGTAGAGACCATTGAATCTATAGATTTGTCATTATAATTTTAAAATGATTATGCCCAGTTCTATGATTACGTTAAAAAAAGAAAACGAGATCATAATAAAACTAAAATCAACCTTAAAATATGATTGGGCGCAAAAATAACCTAATGTTAGTTTAAATTAAAAATCGTTACTACGATTACTTTAGATGAATTATTTGATTTATTTTTTACTTTTGATACCCACTAGGATTGAGATCAGAGGGTAGCTGTCAACAAAATGTGTGGTTGTCTTTCACTGATATACATACAATGCCCTATTGATTTCTAACAAACAATTAAAAAATGCCATCTAGCAGCGTTGTACTCACGACGGAAAGACGTGCTAAGAGGCTTATTGGTAACCTTAATTTGGGTGAAAACCTTGTCAGTCTCAACTACCAGCGCAGAGCAGCCAGTCTCTCGGTATTCTATAGGATGCATTTCGAAGAGTTTACGCAGGAATTATATGCCTTAATTCCTTCTCTTTCCACTTACTAACCAGGCGGACGGCGGATCTTCACCGCTTTGTTGTCGCATATTCCACGCATTCGAACTTATCACATCTGTAACTTTGTTCTTTTTCTTCCTCATCTGCCGATAAAAGTCCAATACTTTACATTGGTTTCTGTCATTGTAGGGACGATAAATCACAGGATCAGATGCCTCGCGCCTTTGATGCAGTTGCCCGTTACCGTTCTGGTGTAAACGGGATGCTTTTACTGCCATCTGTCGAAAGCCCTAATACCGAAATTTGTATTTTCTGTTTCAGTACGCGATCTTCTTGCTGGTGATCATCATCGTCCAGGTGGTGATGGCCGTGCTGATGTTCACATACGGTGAAACTATGAAGGAAGCCCTCGTCAAGACCGTCAATGGAGTTTTCGACAAGAGGTCCAGTGACCCCGCTGCGAACGCCGTCTTCAATAACATTCAAGAACAGGTTCGACAGGAGTTATTTTGTAACTTATACTTTTTAAGCCCTTCCGCAAAATCTAATTCAACAATTTCTTGACTTGAAAGACGACACATTATTTTCAGAACTTTTCTGCATCAATGTGATGGAAGAGACTTCTTGACGTATTTTTCTTTACTTTTTATAAGCCGTTGCTAGTATTCACTACTATTCTAAGTTTACTATCATGTTTAAAGTACTAAATTCCATAATCACGAGCTAACTTTTGGATCATAAGTTGCATCCACATTTTATTTATAAAATAAGTATTATTTTAATCGATCGTTGTATTAACTAAACAAGAGTACTCTGTCGTTTAAGCTGTGGCTATGTAAAATAATCCCTTATTCTTACGACACGATCTATACCTTTTAAAACAGGATTAATTTAAAAGAAATAAATTTGACATTGGCTTCAATAGTCCACGGTCACTTACCATCAGGTGGAATGTAAGTTTGTCACTTTAATTTTATAAAAAGAAATAATGTGAGAGTCGATGGATGCAGATGGCTTAGGATTGTACTTTGTGGCAATCTATTGGGTTGGGGTGGTCTGTGTTTAGTAGTGGAATTGTGATGGGCTCCAATGAAGATGATGATGATGATATCATCATCATCTATACTTATACATATACCAGACAAATTTTAATTATTATGTATGATACAAACGATAACTCCACAATCCACATTAATTATTATATATGATACAAACTATAGTTCTACATTAATTATGATGTATGACACAAACGATAATACTACATCAATTATTATGTATGACACAAACGATAATACTGCATTAATTATTATATATGATACAAACGATAGTTCCACATTAATTATTATGTATGACAGAAACGGTAGTTCCACATAAATTATTATGTGTGACACAAATGATAGTTACACATTAATTATTATGTATGACACAAACGGTAGTTCCACATAAATTATTATGTGTGACACAAATGATAGTTACACATTAATTATTATGTATGACACAAACGGTAGTTCCACATAAATTATTATGTGTGACACAAATGATAGTTACACATTAATTATTATGTATGACACAAACGGTAGTTCCACATAAATTATTATGTGTGACACAAATGATAGTTACACATTAATTATTATGTATGACACAAACGGTAGTTCCACATAAATTATTATGTGTGACACAAATGATAGTTACACATTAATTATTATGTATGACACAAACGGTAGTTCCACATAAATTATTATGTATGACACAGAAGGTAGTTAGACATTCATTATTATGTATGGCACAAATTTTGACTCCACATTAATCATTATGTATGGCACAAACGATAGTTCCACATTAGTTATTATGTATGACATAAACGAAAGTTCCACATTAATTATACATTAATTATAACAGTGGTAGAGCCACGCGGCAGCTTTTGCTGTCGCACGGATGGGCCGGCACGAACCGGGGTGGTACTACGACCTCACAGAAAACCAGCGTGAAGTAGAGGTTTACCTCTGCGTTTCGCTTGGTGAGTGCAGGTGGCCGAAGGCCCTTTTTACTGGAAATGAGGCATTCCATCTTAGTCCTCACCGGTGACAACGCCATCTACATTTTGATTTGGAATAGAGGATAGATGTAGATGTCTATGGGCCGCAGCATCCAATTACCATCAGGTGGACTGTGTGCTCGTTTGTCACCCTTATCCTATAAAAAAAATATTATGTATGTCACAAACGATAGTTCTACAAACTACGCAAGCCGAAGCCTAATTACTCGAATTACTCTAAAGAGTCGAAAAGAGCAACACTGAAAAACCCCTTATCTTCATGTTCGGCAATGTATAATACTTTATTACTAATAACGTTCAAAATGAGAAAATAGTAAGTACAATATGGAGTTATGCTTATCATCATCATCATCATCATCATCATCATTACAGTCGTTCACTAGTCCACTGCTAAGCATAGGCTTCCCCCAAGGAAAGCACGGTCTTGAGCCACCTGCATCCTTCGACTTCCTGCATGTCTTACCATGTGTATGTATGAAGTGTAGGGTGTCTCCCATTAGATGGAGTAACGACCTGGTTGTGCTTATGTGGTGTAATAAATATTTTATTTCTTTCTTTTTTTAATTCACATACATTAAATTCGTACATCCCACAGCTGGAGTGCTGCGGTAAGAACAGCCCGGCGGACTACGGCGTGATCGGCGTGGTGACCGATCTGCCGGAGTCATGCTGCACTCGCGCCACCGGAGTGGTTGGCAAGATCCTCAGCAAGTGCACCATCGCCGACGCGAACTCGATCGGCTGCGGACCCCAGATCGCCAGCCTCTACGAGAAGTGGAACAAGACCATCGCCAGCATCGCTATAGGCGTCGCCTGTATTGAGGTACGTGCTCTGCGTTATAATCATTCTATATCACGATTATTCACGAAATCGAATTAGTTTCAACATGTCATTTTACGCTCATCGCAAGCAACTATTCTTTATTTATGTATACACATTTAGTTTATAGACATATAATAATTCAGGCACCTACTTTAGTTAGTAATATTATTAAATATAACTTCTGTAATGAAATGTAATGTGTAGATTAGAACATTGAGTACATAATGTCGACGGCAAAACTCAAATGAGTTTGTGTTTACACTGAAACTATTTGTCTTTTTAATCATTAATTTCTTAAGTAAATAAATAAATATATAAAAATAAACAAATTTTACATATGTAGTCACGCCAGTCACGCTGCAGCTATGTTGTGGTTGTAGCACGAATGGGTCGGCTCGACCGGGGTAGGACCACGCTCTCACAGAATACCAGCGTAAAATAGCCGCTTAAGCTGCTGTGTCTTATGGTGAGTGTAGAGAACCGGAAACCCGTTTTTACTGGAAAAGAGGCATTCCATCTTAGTCCTCAGGAGTAGACAAAGCATCTATTGTTTGATTCTTAATTGAGGATAAATGTAGTTGTATTGGGCCACAGCATCCACTTACTACCAGGTGGACTGTGTTGTGGACAGGTGCTCGTTTGTCACCATTATTTTATAAAAAAAATCTAACCAATGTGATTTAAGATTGGCTGTGGTTGAGTGATGTAGGAACAACGCAGTCTCATTTTAAAAAACGAGACGAGGAACGACGATTGACAAAGTTACGGTGTTAAGAAGTTGCTTTAATATTCCAAATTTGTGAAAAGCTAAAAAGTTGTAACGTGTCACTTATGGCCACGAAATGCAAATTTTTAGAAATCTATCACCGCCGAAGACTATAAGGCCGGCCACATACATACGGAATTCCGTTTCGAGATTCCGTTTCGGAATTCCGAACGGGACGGCCACACACATACGGAATCCCGTTTTGACCGCAAAATGTCGAACGGAAAACGACCGTACGTGTGGGGCGGGTCATAGATTTTATATGGACTTGCTGCGTTCGGGATTCCGAATCGGAATATCGAAACGGAATCCCGAAACGGAATTCCGTATGTATGTGGCGAGCCTAAGTCCGGCTAATAAAATTGCTCAGTGAAGCAAGTAGGTGTATTTATGTATGTTTTTCGTAACCTTTCATCTTATTTTATTTAATAATTCGTCGAAAGAATTCACATACATAACTATTTAAAAAATATCTCTGGATAGATAGATCTTTTTACATAGTATTGACTATATTGCAAGCTTAGGGTGATAAGGGGATGCACCTAGTAAGAATGATACAGCAACAATGGAATCGCAATTATAAAATCGTCGTCATTATTCGCTGGCAGAATGTCCAGACTCAATGGCTAACGTCTCTCAACTGACCCTTTATTCCGAAAAAAAAACGTATGTGTGTGGTGTATTCACGGAATCCCGATTCGGGATTCCGAAACGGAATCTTGAAACGAAATTCCGTATGTATGTGGCCGGCTTTAATCCGCACTTAAAATTGTTGCGAACAACAATTTTACTGTTGTCGGCGCGAATTGAACTTTGAGTCGCTCTGATTGGTAGCTGTGATTAAATAAGTAATTTTGTATTTATTCCTATTTTGCAGGTGGTCGGAGCGTTGTTCGCACTGTGCCTCGCCAACTCCATAAGAAACATGGACAGAAGGTCACGCTACTAATATTTTGTACTTTACAACTGGTACCTATAAATCCATTTTTGTTTTTTTTTTACTATTGGTTACTTGCGAACGGGTTGTGTTCACTGCATGGCTGAATGACACTTTTTCTTTTAATTCCACTTGACTTTTGTTTCCTTTTTTCGAAATTTTAATGTCTCTAATTTGTCACAGATAAAACAAACAAAGTGGACAGATAGTTACACTTGAGGTCTTTACTTAATTTAAAAATAATTTACAATAAAAATATATTAAATTAAGCTGTCTCTGTTAGCTTCTTATAATAACAAACATTTAACTTGAGTGCATTTATTTTATCATTGTTTCTAAGCCTTGCCATCTGCCATGTACAAATGTAGGGGGGAAAATGGTAAATTATATTATATTCTTTTTAATTTTTAAAAATCTAAGTCTGAGAAAACATTACAATTAAATCTTATGTACTAATTAATGTACAGTGAATGTATAAAATATTATTTGTTCACTGCCATGTTTCATTTCCTACTCAGCTCAACCTTTTATACTTAACTTTTGTTTGTGCCATTATTATGAACAACTAAAAGCAAAAAGAAATCCCTTTAAAAAATTAAAAAACTCTTCTTTAGTTTAGACGTAATAAAATGGCGTGGCATCAAAGTCGAAAATAATAATTACGAATACATGACTCTCATTAATAAATTACTTCAAATTTACTAATGATAGTGTCAATTGCCTAAATTATAAAAAATGGCAATTGTTGTAAGGGCACGTGGAACTTCGCTCATTCTCACGTCTCACATACAAACACAACCGACAAAGCTCAAGAAGTTTTTAGAAATATGTCGCGATGACATTCAAATGTACTCAAGTGTAGTTCGCCGTCAGGTGTAATATTATTATAGCGATGTATAGCCGTAAGTAATACGCTTGATTTGGGTTATTTTATAGCTTACTAACAATATATTTGTGGCGCAACTACCGGCATAATTCGTGTATAATCTGTGGTGGCAAAATACTGATTTATATATATGTGTAAATTAAAAAAAATAATCGGCTGTAGGTAGAGTGATGTAACAAATAAATTTAATTCTAATATTATGCTTAATCCTTTGGAGCTGCTTCAGTTACAAGTGGAGAAATATTTTGATATTTTTTTTTTGCAAAATCTAATAAAAAAACCGTTAACTACATAAAAGCAGGAGGTATATGGTTATTAAGTGCATTTTTTTAGTAACTTCATAGAATATTTGAGGAATTGACCCACAAAGTAATTAAATTACAATACAAATACAAAATTTGATTGCTTGTTTTTAGATAAAATCTGTTGGGTAAAAATTAAATGCATAATCTCATACATAATTAATTCGATCAGATATTTTTAGCTTTAAAAGATTTGGTTAGCTGTAGCCATTTGCCAAATCTATATTCACAATAAATATTATAATGGAATAGAATATAAAAATAAACAAGGTTATTTGTTGCAGTAAGTAACATTCGTATTTTGTCGTATTATTTCTCTGAGGTAAAATACATTTTAGATGTTTTTTTAAAAACTTAATATATGTACTCTAAGACAGTTTAATGGATAAAAAAGTTTTGCTTAATTTGACTTCAGCAAAGGATGAACAGTAACTATTGATAATAATATGTTTTATTAAAAAAATAATAATTCACGAAGATATAACAAGTAACACATAATAAATCATTTTATGGATTATTTTTTCCCTAAATTATAACTTTACTAAAAACCATGAACAGCACAAAATTTATTAACTTAGAGTAACTGATCTTTTCAATTAATGAGGCATTTTGATGTGCATTTAAGTTAGAATTTTTATAACACACTTAAACATTTTTTATAACAATACTTTTGTATATTTTATTATACAACGCTTAAATATAGTCGGATAATTTTATATAAAAGAAAAGTATTTGACGCAACAAGAAAAATAAAAGTAGGTATCGCGTTTAAGAATCTCAATGCAGTAACTTGTTTGAAAGTGGCATATTATAATGTTTAAGAGTGCTTAAAGAATTTGGAGACTTATAATGTATATTTCTAATGCGTATTTTTACGCTTTTAAATTCGTTTTCTTGCCAATTGTAATCTCGTTATATGTAAAAACTTTCTGCCAATAGTAAAAATATATACGTATCATGTTTACTTTTAGTTTTAGAATCATTTGTAAATTAAAGATAACTATTGAATTTATTTAAAACAATGTGTTTAATTTTGGTGTTTTGGGTTTGATGTTATTTTTCTTTAATTTGATTGACATTTCTTATAAAATTGTTAACGAAATCTCAATATTGTGTAAGTAATAATTATTTGACTATACTTCGAAAGACAAACTTCTAACGCATACAGACAATTATATTTAATTTTTTTGTTATTATTTATTAAGATTAATATTTTGTAGTAGTGAAGCCTCAAAAAATACACAATAAAATTGTCCCAAAATTTGAATTAGTGCCAAATGTTTAGATATTTAACTCGTTTGTAGCACTTCAGTATTTTCAAACATGTTAGAATCAAATTTTTCGGATATGTATTAATTCTTATTAACTGTGCCTTGAGCAGAAAACGTATAATTATTTGGAATAAAGAATTTCTATGAAAACACTCGTTTCTCTGTAGCTTTGCTTCGCTATGATAATGAATTTAATAAAACCGTGGTATTACAAAAATATAATAAATGTGGATTTTAGATCGCATTAAGTCTACATCGATGTCTGTTTGTATGCTTTGCCGATTTAACAAAAAATAATATTATTGTGTCACTAAAAATTTACTGATGTTCGATACTGGCAACAATATAAGTGTTTTTAAAATAAATCTATGTTATGCCATCTATTGCAAGTGTAATTTTTGTTCATTGTGTGTATAGTACATATAAACGGTAAGTGGGTTTATGTACATACTAATAGCATGCTTGTGTTTTTGTGTAAAGGTGGTGTTTGAGTCAAAACAGAGACGGATTAACCTTAAGGCAAAGTGGGCAACTGTCAATGGTCTCGTCTCGCTTCTAGCCCCCGCGGTCTTAGCAAAACGTATATTTTCATGATATTAAGTTTGTTGGGCGAGAGTTGACAAATATTATGCAAACGTCTCGCTATAGCGACTGTCGCTTTAAGTATAGCAGTCTGAGTGATGGGTGTCGCTTAACGCCGGGCAGATATTTAATAAATATGTTGGAGATTTTTTTTATTTTTAACTGACTTCAAAAAGGAGGAGGTACTCAATTCGACTGTATGTATTTTTTATGTGTGTTACCTCATAACTTTTTTCTAGGTGAACCGATTTTGATTATTATTTTTCATTTGAATGCTGGTGCTTCTCATATATAAATTGATCAAGGTCTGACCAGTAGTTTTTGAGTTATCCTTTAAAATTTATATTGAAGTCGATTGTACAATTTTTTTTTAAATTTTACCACTCGTCATATCCACTATGAGTTCCCATAAAAGAAGTAAAAATAATATGTAATGACTGTATGAATACAAGCTATTTAATTTTTTTATTAGCAAAAATAATTAGCGGGTCGCAATTTGTAATAAGTTTAGGAACCCTGCTTTTTTAACAACTCGCCGAACAGACTATAGTCAGTTGGAAATGGGCCGGGAAAGGGCTCGACACTCATGGCGAGGGGCCTCGAAATGGCTTAATCCGGCTCTGATCAATCTGCATGTGTTGCACGAATACCCCCCCCCCTCCAAAAGCCAGTTACAGCGTTTATTAAAAAACGTACACGAAAAACGTAGCTATGGAATGTAATAATTGGCTTATGTCCCAATTTACTAAGGACACACTATTTGGTCTTTGCACGGTTTTTTTTTAATTAACAATTTGTCTTTCAGTTTTGTTTTTTTTAATCTAATTCTCAGACGGTACCAGTGACTTTTAGTTCATATAAAAGTCGTTACACCCCATATTAACAGCCAAAAAAATTTCAGATACGCCTAGAAATGATGCAGCCATTACGAATAACGACGACCAACGAGAGGACATGCGTCATCATGGCTATTATAATTATGTACAAGTTAAATAAGTATAGATCGACATAGCGCCGGCCCACCTTAAAGTTTATCGAAAATTACTATTTACAAATCTCTTTCTCGGAACGTAACGCACACGTTCCAAGAATTAAGAGTTAATACACGAACGCGCACTTTAATTTCGTTACCTGTCAGATGAGGTACATTATAAGTTTTTTTTTTGTTATTTTTATTCTGTTACATTAGGAACAACGGGTGTTTTCCGTTCGTCTGATCGGTAGACGGGATAAATTGGACCGAAATAATTTTTCCTTGTGTAATCTTACAAATTGAACGGATTTAAAAAAAAATTATCAGATGAAAATGGAAAAAATACAATTACAATGGAAATAATTATATTTATCAACGCTGGTTTATATTATTGAAGCACGAGGACTTCATTAAATACAAATGTGTAAAAATTTACATTATGAAGAGCATGAGTGTGCTTGATTTCATATTATGTCTTACATAAATGCTTATGAGCAACGAACTCATAATTGCACACACCCGAAAGGGATTATGTAATTTTCTTATTTTTTTTTAAATGAACAGTGAAACAACTGAATTCCTTCCTTTAATTGAAACTTGTATTCTTAATTGTATTTTTTATTTTTGCTATCAAAAAAGTTACATTTGTTACTAAACTTTATGAAATAATTGAGATCGTTCATAAAAGTTCATCAAACTGACTTTCAAAGAGGAGTTTAACTGGGACGGAAATTGTTATTGGGCTGATATAGTAACCGATCGAACGAACGGGATACACCTCCATCACAACAAACATTATAGCAATGCGTTATCTTTTATATTTGGTTGATAATTTTTTGTTGTATGACTTCATCATATAATATAATGATTAAGGTAATGTTAAGTTAGTTAAGACATTTTCAAACGTTAAAGGTATAATTAAAGAATGTTTAGATAAAGTATTTTCCTATATCGACTTATTACTGTACGTCCAGTTTATATTTATATTATAAAAGTGTTGATATTTGTATGCATTTCTATAAAATGTGATTAATCTAAGTGTTGCACTTATGTATATAACTACTGATACATCTGGAGCAAATATACTATGAATCTCTTGAGCATTTTCAGATAACAATTGATGTTTTGCATTATAATTATGCTATAAATAAATATTTCCACCAACTAATCCAATGTTTTTTTTTTAATCACAGTTATAAATATTATGTAATAAAATGTATAAATTTTAATTTTAAAATTATACGTGTGTGTTGTTTAGTAAAAACATTGAGCTATTATGTACTACGTACTAGAGCTATTCCATTCAATAGCGGCGGTGTCGCCGCACTTTACCTACTCAGTCACTCGCTACTCGCTAGGCGCTAGTGAGTTGACACATGCTGTGTTAATTATACAAAAAAAAATCACTTGATAAAATATGCCAGTGTGTTTTTAGTTACTGCACAAATAATAATAATCATATGTGCCGGCATGAAATACTGTCTCGCTCTGCTGAGCACGCCAAGCTTTTTAGAGGCCAATTTGGCCTTCTCTTCCAAGTGACCACGAAACTGCACGTCACTCGATATGTCAACGCCGAGGATTCCGATACTGGCTGAGGCAACAAGGGGAGTGTTCTGAAAGAGGAGATACGACAAAGGGGATCTTTTTAGCGGTAAATGCGCAATCTTGTGTCTTCTGAGGATTAAACTGGACTAGATTTAGTCGCCCCCAATCCGAGACTTTGTTCAGCAAAGACTCGACTTCAGACACAAGTTTGTTCCGGTATTCGGCGACGTTTTCCCGAGAAATATTGGCACCGCCGGTATATAAGGCATCACCAGTGCTGTCGTCTGCATAGCAATGAATGTTACCAGTTTGCAGCAACGGGATTATGTCACTAACTACAAGTCGATCAAAATGGCACATACATATATATTATAATTAATAATAAAACTGAATATACTCGTATCTAACGCATACAGACAATTGTATATGTTGTATATGTATATGGCTATAGTTGCCACGCTTGGCAGACGGGATGGCAACTGCAGTTGTTTGTTATGTTGAGTTGTTATCAGGAAGATGGGCACCATCTTCCTGATAACAACCCTTTAGTTTTAATTTCCCTCTGTCGGCTACATGGGACGATATGGGGAAGTGGGTATCTCATCATCTTACACCGTCACACACGGCACGGGGAGTAGGTAAGTCCAAAAAATTATTTGCCTTAAAATTTGAAGTCTCCAACCTCAAAAAAAATCATGGCTACATTGACTTAAATATCAATCATAAAGCTTCACCCTTCAGTGCAGTGACATAGTGAAGATTATTCAGTATAAAGGCGTAGCATGCGTAGCTACCGCCCGCTAGAGGCAATAATGCCGCTCCTACTCCTGCCCCCTTGTTTTCGTAATACATATTAAAATGTAAAATCGCTTAACATCTACAGATTGCATATTATTTAACAATTATTATTATTATTTATTTTTATTATTACAGCCCTTCACAAGTCCACTGCTGAACGTAGGCCTCCTCCAAAGAATGCCACAAAGCACGGTCCTGAGCCACCTGCATCCATCGACTTCCTGCATATCTCACCAGGTCGTCACTCCATCTGGTGGGGGGGCGCCCTACACTTCGCCTGCTGGTACGAAGCTGCCACTCGAGAACCTTTTTTCCCCATTGGTTGTCGGTTCTTCGAGCTATATGGCCGGCCCATTGCCACTTCTGCTTACTAATCCGTTGGGCTATGTCGGTCACTCTGGTTCTACTGCGGTTATCATCATTTCTAAGTTTATCACGCAGAGAAACTCCGAACATAGCCCTCTACATAGCTAGCTGAGCGACCTTGAGCTTCCTCATACGGCCAGCAGTGAAGGACCACGTATCAGTTCCATAGGTCATCACTAGCAACACGCACTGGTTGTACAATCTCGTTTTCAAGTTTTGAGGTAAGCCTGACGAGAAGATGTGCCGTAATTTCTCGAACGCTGCCCAACCGAGTTGAATACGTCGATTGACCTCTCGGTCGAAGTTGGACTTACCTAGTCGGACTATTTGTCCCAGGTAAACATACTCGTCAACAACTTCGAGCTTAGTGCTCCTAACAACTTCCGGCATAGGTGTGACATGGACATTAAACATGATCTTTGTTTTGTCCATGTTCATCTTAAGACAGGCCGTTGGGAAACACTATTGAGGTCATTGAGCATAGTGCTTAGGTCTTCCAGCGATTCTGCCATAAGGACTATATCGTCGGCAAATCGAAGGTGAGTGATGTACTCGCCATTGATGTTGATACCGTATCCTTTCCAGTCCAGAAGCTTGAAAATGTCTTCCGATGCAGCGGTGAATAGTTTCGGGGATATGACGGCACCCTGTCTTACACCTCTCTGCAATTGGATAGGTTTCTTACTCTGGTTCTGTACTCGGATAGCCATCGTAGCCCTACTGTACAAACACTTCAGCACTTCGATATATCGACAGTCAACTTGGCACCGCTGAAGGCACTGCAGCACCGCCCAAATTTCGACGGAATCAAAGGCTCATAGTCCACATACGCCAGACATAGTGGCAAATTGTACTCCTCGGACTTCTGTATAATTTGCCATAGGGTATGTATGTGGTCTATGGTGCTAAAGCCTTTTCGGAAACCGGCTTGTTCGGGAGGGTGGAAGTCGTCAAGTCTGCGCGCGAGACGATTCGTAATGATTCGAAAACAGCACGTAGACGCGGCTCAGAAGGGAAATCGGTCTAGTTATTTAAGAGCGCGTTGTCGCCTTTCTTGAAGAACAAGACCACTGCCCTTCCGCTCCACGCCTCCGGTGTAATGCCACCATGGAGGACGGAATTAAAGAGCTTCTGAAGGACTTCAAGCACCGGTCTTCCACCCGCTTTCAGAAGCTCCGCTGTAATTCCATCTTCGCCTGGGGCCTTGCCGTTTTTGAGGTGCTGGAGAGCCATTCTAATCTCGCTCAGACTGACGTCCGGGATATCATCGGAATAGTGTCGGATGAGACTCGCTCTTGGATCGTTACTCACACTTGCGTGTGGGTCCAACGATGATGTGTACAGCTGTCCATAGAACCTCTCAATCTCACTCAAAACCTCAGGTGTCCCGGAAATGACGCTGCCACACTCGGTCTTCAGCTTCGACAGTTGGCTCTCTCTGGCAGACAGATCTCTAGCAAATACTTTGGAGCCCTGGTTCCGCTCGATCGTTTCTTCAATACGAGCAGTATTGAAGTTGCGTAAGTCCCGCCGCATGCATTTGGAGATCTGTCTGCTCAGTTGCCTGTATGCTGTCAAAACTACTGAAGACTGCAGCTTCATATCCCGTCTAAGAGCCATGAGATTAAGAGTGTGATCGGAGAGTTTTTGTGTTCTTCTGCGGCGGGCCTTGCAAAACTAAACTCCGATCCGACCGCATGGACAGTTTCCACGAGCTTGTCATTCATATCGTCCACTGCATTGCAATCTTCTTTTTGTAGCTCGAGCTGATAAGTTTCGGGACTGGATTAGAGGACGAGGGGGACGAAGCGTTGACTTCATTAGATGTGACCTCTCCAACTTAACGTTTAGGTTCAGTGTGCCTCTCACCATTCGTAGATCGCTGCCGGTTTTCACCCTCGTGATCACTCAGACATTACTGAACAGTTGTCGTCTGGTCGTCATAATAAGTCAATCTAATCTAAGTCAATCTCATTTTTTGTCGAACCGTCGGGGCTCGACCAGGTGCACTTCCTGTGGGGCCGCTTCTGGAAGAAAGAGTTCATCATAAAGAGTCCCTCTTTCTCCATGAAGCCGGCCAGCTGCTGGCCCCTTGGGTTCCGTTGCCCTGTTCCGAATTTCCCTACTTTTAGCTCAACGTTCTCTCTCGTGCCTAGTTTTGCGTTGAAGTCTCCCATTAACACCGTATAGTGGGTTTTGGAAGAATGCATGGCTCTAGAGATATCC